TTCTGCTGTGCATAGGGTCGCTATGAGTTGTACCAACTTGATGGCACCTAACAACAACTCTTTAGCTTTGTTGTTGGAGTCCCTTCCCACACTTTAGAGACCCTGTGTTCAGCAGATGGAAATACTGCCCAGTCCTGCATCCTCCTCACAATTGTTGCTATGTTTGAGCCCACTGATGTAACTAACTATTGTATCAATCCATCTCCTTTCTGAAAGTCTTGTTTCTTTTTCAATCACCCTTTACCAAACATGATACCCTTTCCAGGGCCTGGTCCCTCCTGATAACATGTCCAAAGTACATGAGATGAAATCTCAACATTCTTGATTCTAAGGAGTATTCTGGCTGTACCTCTGCCAAGACAAATTTGTTCATTCCTCTGGTTGTTGTTGTTGTTAAGTGCCTTCAAGTCAGTTTCAACTCATAGCAACCCTGAATAGGGTTTCTGAGGAGCAACTGGTGAGTTTGAACCCCTGACCTTGCCATTCAAACCAACTTTGCAGTCCAGTGTGTTTACCCACAGCCCCACACCAGGCGTTCCATTCTTCTGGTTGTTGTTGTTGTTGTTAAGTGCCATCGAGTCAGTTCTTACTCATTGTGACCCTGTCTAGGGTTTGCGAGGAGCCACTGGTGAGCTTGAACCACTGACCCTGTGGTTCAAAGCAACTTTGCAGTCCAGTGCATTAACCCATAGCACCGCACCTGCAGCACCACACCATGATTCCATCCTTCTGATGGTGGTGGTGGTGATGTGCCATGGAGTCGGTTTCAACTCATAGCGACCCTGTACAGGGTTTCTGAGGCTGTAAATCTTTATGGAAGCAGAAAGCCTCATCTTTTTCCCATGGAGCAGCTGGTAGTTTCTAACTGCTAACCTTGTGGGTTGCAACCCGATTCGTAACCACTACGCTACCAGAGCTCCTGTATTCTTCTGATAGTCCATGTTATATTCAATATTCTTCGCTTGCACCATAATTCAAAGTCATCTATCCTTCCATCTTCCTTACTCATTGTCCGTATTTTGCATGCATGAGATGACTGAAAATACCATGACTTTGGTTAGGCACCCCATAGTCATCTTTGCTTTTTAAAGGGATCTTTTGCACCATATTTACCCAATGGAACACGTCCTTTGATTTCTTGATTGCTGCTTCCATAGCTGTTGATTGTGGATCCAAGTAATATGAAATACTTGACAACTTCAATCTTTTCTTTGTTTATAATGATGCTGTTTATTGGTCAAATTGTGAGGATTTTTGTTTTATGTTGAGGT